GTTCCATAGTGTGGCTCTTGTGAACTGGGCTGCTATAAGCATAAGCATGCATGTGTTACTGTAGTAGATGACTTTCATTCTTTAGGATAAATACCAAGGACAGGTACAGCTTAGACATATTGGGGTTCCATTTCTAGCCTTTTGAGGAACCTCTGTGCTTATTTCCATAATGGTTGTAGTAATTTACAATCCCACCAATGGTGTAAAAGTATTATTTTTTCTCTACATTCTCTCAAACATTTATTAATCCTTGTATCATTGATAACTACCAATCTGGCTGGAGTCAAGTGAAATTTCAGGATAGTTTGAATTTGCATTTCCCTAATTACTAATGATGTTGAAAAGTTTTTTTCATATATTTATTGCCCACTTGTATCTCTTCTTTTGAGAAGTGTCTGTTTAGTTTATTTGGCCATTTACTGATTGAGTTACTTGGATTCGTTGGTTGGTTCGTTCTGGTGTTATGTTCTTTAAGTTCTTTATATATAATGGATATTATTCCTCTGTCAGAAGCATAGCTAGCAAAGATTTTCTCCCATTTTCTATCTTCCCATACTTATTTCCTTTGCTGTGCAGAATCTTTTTTAAATGATGCCATCCCATTTATTAACTCTTGGTATTATTTCCTGAGCTTTAAGAGTCCTATTGAGAAAGTCATTGTGTGTGTTTATATTGCTATAGTGTTAACTCTACATTTTCTTCTAGGATTTGCATTGGTTCAGGTCTAATTTCTAGATTTTTGATCCATGTTGAGTTGATTTTCATGCATGGTGAGAGATAAGGGTCTAGTTTCCTTCTTCTATATATGGGTAACATGTTTTCCTAGTATTATTTGTTAAAAATGGCTGTCTTTTCTCCCATGTATGTTTTTGGCATCTTCATCAAAAATATCAGGTTACCATCTCTGAGTGGCTTTGTCTCTGTGTCTTCTATCTGTACCATTGGTCTATGTGCCTGTTTTTATGGCAATTATATTTGAGGGAAATGTCTTGTGTGTGTGTCATGGGGATTGCAGAGGAGACTGAGGAATGGCAATGGAGAATAGCCTCAGTACTGTCGACATGCATGCAGTAGCACATGTTCTAAGTACACTTTTTGAGATAGTTTGTTGTAGTTATAACTGTCCTTACTCTGTGAGAGGGCACACTTGGACTCTAAGACCCTGTGGTCCATATGCTACTTTGATGGCTGGATCTTATTTGGAGATAAACCTAGATTTTATTGAGAAATAAGTGGACCTCCCCTTCCTTCCTTTCTTTCTTCCTTTTTTGGTTTCTTTTTTCCTTCCTTTTTGTTTTACTGTTACCTTTACTTTTTAAGTAGGACTAGACTCTATAACAGTAAAAGCTATAGTATAGTAAATATGTAACCAGTAACATCATCATTTTTCCATTGCTATTGAGTGGTACATAATTTACATGATATACTTTTATGACCAGCAGCACTACAGATTTTTTTTATACCAGCATCACCCCAAACATATATGTAGTGCATTTGCCATGTCACTGAGCAACACGGATTCTCTAGCTATGTTATAATCTTTCAGGATCATCACAGATGCAGTCCATTGTTGATCAAAATGTCTTTATGTTGCACATAACTGTGGTTTTTATATTCAATTGCACACAGTTGATTGATCCTGTTGGTGAGATGATCTAGGTTGTTGCTGATTTTATGCCACTAAATCTGTCCATTTCTAACAGAGGAGTATCGAAGTCTCCCACCATGGTTACAGATTCATCTTTTTCTCCCTGCATTTGTATTACATTTTTGCCTCACATAATTTGATAATCTGTTTGTAGGTGTATGCATGTCAAGGGTTGTAACATATTCTTGAAGAACTGACCATTTGTCTTTATATAATATTTTTTTTGTCCCTAATAAATTTACTTTGAAATCTTGTCTATGTATAAGAAACAGCTATTCTTCCTTTGATATCATTTGTGCAGGCATGACATATTATTTTCTAGGTGTTTACTTTTAACCTCTGACTATAATTTTTTTTCTGGGTAATGGACTCAGGGTCACTTTTGCCACTGAACTACACTTTCAGTACTTTATATATATAT